ACAGTTTTATATCAGGATTACATAAAAGAAATAGTAATTTCGCAATTCGATATTATTTGTAACAAAGTTTTACTGTACAGTTATAATTAATGTTATTCCACGACCTATTCGTTTGATCCATACATGTCACGCTACAGTCGGGTTGCGTGTAACATAGAATGGGTTCCCCTTTAATCTTTGCTTGGGGCGTAGAAAAATGTTCTTTTTTTTTATTAATCCACTTTCGGAATTTCATTTTTTTGTATTGTTATTATGTCCTTTTTTCTTTTACCTGTATCTATGTCACTGGATATAAGGGACGTACTATTTAGCTGCTTTGTTTAAGTGTGGAAATAAATTTTGTGGCCTAGTTAAAAAAAAATATTAAATTTTCATACGACAGTGTACTTAAAAAATTTGGTGAGCAATATGAAATTTCTTTCAGTACACAGAATGCCTTTTTGTTGCTTTACCACGAGTATCCTTTAGTTATGTCAGATCGCAGCTGATCCCGTGTTACGTATTACGTTGCCCGCATATTTTTGGGGAATATCAGGTAAACTGATATTTCACGTGGCACGCGGTATGGTAGCCCTATAGTTACTGATATATATATATTTTCAAACGTAATAGAAATAGAAAGTGATAACTCAAGGATGTGAAGCATGAAATTAAATTTTTGTAGCTATTTATTGTACAGTATTTAAATATCCCTATGAGATTGTTTTTTTATTTCCTTTGAATTCACGAGCAAAATGTGTTTCATAACGGTGCTATTAAACGAGGAAGGGATACGAGTTGTTGCAATAAATAAAGCGAAGTTAATTATCCTAATGAATACTTAATATCGGTCATTGTAATGACAAATTACCTTTTCGCAATTATAAAGTCTGATATGGCGAGTGAGTGTGAAACAAGAGAGTCGTACCTACCTATATGGCTATACCTATATACACACGTATAACATATGTAAAAGCATACACGTTATATAGTTACAAATTGACTTGGTGAAATTTTGTCACGGCGGCTTCTCTCCTTTCGATCTTGATCGGCTAGTCTGGAATATCGGATTGCATCATGAATTAATTGCACATTGCAGCCGTGTTGCATCTGCACAGAAGCCGCAAAGTGTGGCCAACGTAATACGACGCCGGTCGAATAAGTAGCAAGTCTTTCGGAAACGCCGAATAAATTTTTATTTATCGAATCTGATTTTTAGTAAATTTCATTTAAAGTTATTTTTTTTCAACCCCCTTTACGTTACGTTTTCGACCAGGCGTGAAATATAATTCCTTCTGTTGGCTATCGCGTGCAGCTGGTCTTAGGTAAAAAATTGTTTTTATTTTCGTGCATTGCCCCATGTTCTGTTTCCACTTTGGAAGTTAATAATGCACCAGTTGCAATGGCTATTTTGTTCTCCGACAACGGCAGGCCGTGGTTCGAGTAATCGTTTTCGCGTGGTAATACCGTTTTATCGTGCAAGTCATTTTCCATTGGACTTCCTGGGACGATCGTAAGACCCAAAAATTCTGAGCATCGCTCAAGACCTTGATTAAATGGTAATTTTCATCCGTGTAAATTGCCAGGTACGTCGCGGCGCTGCCCTCTGTCGGCCCTCTTCCATTTATTACCGTTATAAATGCTTGCAGGGAAATCGTGCTTGTATCTCGTAACTTTGTGAAATATCTTAGTGTTTGGAGCTAGAGGTCGGCCATCTCTTTTTTCTTTGACTGACAGAGAACAGTCAGAAGAAAAACTTTAGCTTTCTAGTCCTTCGACTGTCACTTTGTACTGCATGATATATTATTCGGATTTGTTAACGTCCGGCGGCCATTCTAAACATTTCAATAGATAGCTCTTAGAACGCCATTAATTTGTTCTATTGGCTATTTGAGTAACTCACACAGTACAGACTGCTCGACATACTCAAAGTACACTGAACTCTTCTCTTTCACGCAGACGCTTCTTCATTTCCTTTTTTTGGTTTCTTTTCTCTTTTTGAAATTTACCTATCCCCCCCCGTTTCTTTTATTCCTGAGTGCTCTTTACCTCTTTTGTATTACCGTCTTCTGTGCCGATTACCGTCGCTCAGTACACGAGCATTGTCATTTTTCATTTTTCTTTTTCGTCTCTTTTCTTCATTATCTTTATTTTTCGAATGCAGATCACCGAAGCGTGCTCGATCACCGACACTATTGTTCGTGCTGCACCTGACGTGTACTACCTATTGCATCATTTTTATGGGAAATAATCTCTTTTTTTCTTTTTTTTTTTCCATATTTTTTTCTAAATTCCATTAATGAATTCGTTGTATTGTGGTCGGATGATATTAGATTACTGGGAGTTACCGTTATGAAAAATTAGTATTGCTGTACCCAAGACTCGTGCACTGTACTTTTGACACTGAACTCATAAAAAAATGCAAGTCCAATTATTGTTCTATTCCTTGAAGTTAGAAGATAATTCTCATCGTCTTTTTGCTACGAGTAATAAGTAGGTACCCGTAGAAAGGTACTGATTTCAATGCGCCTCCACTTAATAAAAGAAATTAGAGGAATTTTGCGATACGCTACAGCTGGCTAATTCTTCTCTCGACGTGGACAAAGGAACCTAGAAGCGGAAGTGAGCGTAGAATTTTTTGTTTCCGGGGATCAATTATGGCTGGTACTCCAACCGGAAAGTATACTCCGCGTGTGTGTCCGGTCGGACCGGCAATTACTAACGAAAAATTGTGAAAACACGCCGTGAGGGTAATTTCAATGTGTTTTTCTTCTTTACCAGAAATTTTTTTCTTATTGAAAGAAGGCACGAACCACGTGGGTACAGACCGTTGCAAGAATTAGAACGCCATGCTTGGAAATGCTCTATTAAATTCACTTTTTTTTTTCTATTGTTTCTGTGTCGTTTAAATACGTATATCCTTTATTTTTATTAGCTAATCGCTTCTATGGCTGTGCGATAGAAAGTTGCCGCAGGCACGTTAAGCCTAAAACAATGCATCGAAATTACAGTGTTTGAAACCGGTTGTAGAGACGCGCATCGAGAGTGACGACCTCTTCTCCTCGGTGGAATTTCATTGAAACTAAAAACAGCTAAAACAAAGGAATCTCACTTTCCAACATTTTTTCAATTATTTGCTGTCTATATGTTATGCAATTATATGTCGTTTCAATATCAGCATCATTATTTCATTTAACTTTATAATTCCTGGAAGATTCGCTCCACGGTTGAGTTGTGGTTTTTGCATTTTCTCATTAACGGCAGATCAGCTTCAATCGAATTAATTTTATTAGCCTCTTTGATCAATTTGGCCAACAATTTGAAGTCGTAATTGAAATATCCTTTTATAAATTAAACACCTGCGAATCCAATTGCATTGTTTCTTGTTTCCTTTTTCCTCTTCATAACCAACGAACTCATGCGTCATTATACACTGTACTTATTATACCTGAAAATGTTCCGTACTTCATTGGACATAGAGCCGCGCGGTACCGTCCGGGGATCCCTATACCGTTATACTGTTAATTCAGTGTTAAAATCATAAAAATCTTTACCTGGCACCTCATTATCTCATTGTATTAAAGTATAGCGAAGGGGACACTCTTAATTTCACTGGTAAGAAGAGTCTTTTTCTGGGTATTAAAATGTTCACCAGGTATTGAGAATAAGGTACCCTTCGGTGCCAGGGAATGAACGCTAGTTCGCCAAATGTTTTTAGTTACTTCCTTGCAACTCTTTCTCTCTTGTCTATTTTTCTTTCTTCGTGCACTGGTAGTGCTTTCTTTTTATTGTTTTTCCTTTCCATTATATTGCTCTTGGCTATTCGGCACTCGTCATAGACATTCCTTAATCGTGTTACTGTATCGACGGTTTTGTTATTTACTTTCCGCCATTACTCTCACTATTCTCGTTCGAATGTTAGCGCATACTGAAATAAAGTTCAAGGATGTCCTAGATTTACTGGATGTTCTTCTAGTACAAAGAGTATGATAATCGTACGTATAGGCTGTGTTTTACAATCACTTCATACTGGTGTCTAGATTTAACGAAGAAGAATTGATGATTTTGCACGATTGAATTATCGTTATTTTACAATTTGCTGCTTATCCATCTCAATTCGTCCACTTGGCGTTTAAAGGGGGAGGGGGGGGGCCCAAGGGGCTACTGGTGTGTGCGTGAGTTGTGACACGGGCGAGGCCGGAAGCAAAGAAACTTCGTATCTAAAACTCTCGAAATTGGCTATACCAGAGCAATTCTCAGTGAAACGGTGTAAAGTTGACAGACGTCAAACTTGTCCTGTATGTCCCCTTTTTGTTATTTTCATCAGTAGTTATGTGCAACGGTGCGATATGTTTTGGATAGGGAACGGCGAAGAGATTGTCGGGTCTCCATGACAGATACGTAGGCTATCACTTTCGAGATTAAGTTATACTTTGTATATTTTCAAATAAATAATTTAAAAATTCGGCTCTGCATGGAAAGGCATTTTAGCGAAAGGCTTCGATTTTGTGTAATAAATTGATTAACGGTGTATTCTGTGGAGAGATTTTCTATTGAGAAGTGTTTTCGCTTCCTGTCTCTTTCGTGTCACAAGTCACCCATACGAATAGCCTGTTCGATTCCCCCTCCACAGGCCCTTTATTTCTACCCTTCGATTGCCACCGCCTCCCCACTCCTCACAATTCATGCTTACGAGCCGTCCGGATTACCCTGAATCTTCAGGTACGTTTAAAGCGTACTATATAAACCCACCCTCAAAGTAGGAATATTTAGTTTGTCGTCAAATTCCCGGAGTAGTGCATCCTAGTCGCAAAGCACTCTCATCATGATCATAGAAGATGACGATTTTCTTTTTCCTGCGGATTTATTGGTAAACTTTCACTTGGCAACATTTCGATTTTACTGTTTTTTTTTTCCTTCAAGTACTTCCTATTCGTGCTTTTGGATGTTCGTGCAGTTTGCCATGGTGCGATTTGGATACGTATCCTTGACCTCATTTTTTTCTTGTTTCTTTGTTTCAGACTCTGGTAACGTGTCGCTGCAGTAGCGACAGCGACGAAGAACCCGTAACGAAGCAACCACGATTGAGTCGCAGACAATCTCGTGAATCAGGAAGCTCCTCTAGCCAATCCGGTAAATCCGCTCAATCCAGTCGGTCGTCCTTACGCTCAGGACGCTCGGGACGCTCACGGCGCTCCAGGACGCAGAAACTGCAGACTAACAGAAGCGATCACTCTGACAGCGACGTCTCCTCCGAGAATCGATTCAACGACGATGGCTCGTATTTCGAGGTGGGTTACGCAATAATTGGCAAATAATAGTGCAACAAAGATATTGACGTAATTACCTTTAGGAAAATGTAAATTTTGCTGTATTAATTAATTATTTGCTCACCTTGCGAAATCTTTACGTCACTTGTGCAGTATGTTGCGCGTATACCCGTGGTTCCTACACGGAATTTTCGTTTAGTGTTGTTAATGCTAAAATATCTCGCCCTGACTATTAGTTGTGCACATAGATACACTATATCTATAGTGCGTGTCGAAGCAGTGTGCTATCTCAATTAGTATCTCGAGGTGTATTTCTAATTAACAAGCTCTCGAATGGTCGACAGGATGATGTGGTTTATCGAGTGGAGGATTATAGTTCGCTAATCGATTCTCGCTTCTGTCATTTGTTAGCGAGCAGGAAAACTGCGAGTGACGTGTGGTTTTCGCGTGCGTTATGCATGGGCGACGTTTTTTCTTTTGCTCTCACAGTATTTTGAAGAGATAAACTTTTTTTTTGAAACATGTATTTTAAGGTTACCTCTTTCGCATTTCGGTTTTGGAGGTTTTATTCGATTTCCTTTTTTGTGTTATAAACAGGACGAAATCTATGTTCTCTGTGTAATGGACACTAACGATCCTGAGGTGTCGAATAACACTGAATGCGAGGGTGTTCCTGGCTCGACCGTAGTTTTGGGTGATCAGGGCGAGGAGGGTGACGTGGAGGAAAGCGGTGCAAGCGAGGAAGAACGTGACGACATGCCGCCGACGCCGGGCGTTGCGACGCCCATTGACGAAGTTGATTCACCGCGTGAGCCGTCGTGCCGCGATAACAAAAAGGATGTGATTAAGCGACGTCGTCCTCTGGAGGAGTCAGCATCGTTCAGCACGTAAGCGTACTCGAATCCTTTCATTTGAAGACTGGACATTTTTCATTCGGAATGTGACTGTAAGAAAATAACTAATTTCGTGACTTTAAATGGTTTTAGGTCAGATCGCAAATCTAAGAATTGTGCGACCTTCTACTTCAAGCATCATGATACTGATTCCGAGGCTGACAGTCGTCCTGGCAACGAATCACCGAACATGGTGGAATCTTCCGAGGAAGAATGGACATACACGGCCTCATCGCCGAAGGACTCTGTTCTCTCCATCGATGAACGTAGAACCAACGTGGTGGTTCGTCTAGATTTCGGCGAAGGCGCCACCGTAGAAAGGAGTCACGTGGTACGCACCTGCGACGAGATCAACGGCAATGGTCCCGTAGTGAATGGCAATGAATCTAAATTAAAAATTGCTAGTGCGAATGGCAAAGGTCTCGGGAATCCTCAGGAATCCATTCAATGCGTTAAGAAGAGTAAGAATGATGATGATGAGAATGAGGAAACTGACGAGGAGGATGATGACGACGAGAATAAGAACAAGGAAATACGAGGCGATGAGACCAGCATCCAACGGTTGATACTGGAGGTTGAGAAACTTGTGAGGGAGAGTACCGAAAGTAATCCATCTAAGCGTTTGCCGCCCCTCATCTTCGAGGACTTGGGAATAGTTAATAACAATAGAGCAAAATATGCCAGGATCAAGGAATGGCTGAAGCTGAACTCTATCAGGAACCGCGAAGGAGATTATACTTCCCAGGTAATAATCCTATAACAAAATAGACAATAACATTTTATTAATATATTTCATATGTAACGTTCGTATTTTATTCGTATATCGCAGTATTGGCTACAACCTCTGGACAGTTGCGATGCAAGTGGCGAGTATACAACAGGCGAATCGGATGCGGAAAAACAATCTGTGTCATCGGATGACCTGCAGAGCAGCGTCGCGACCTTCCGGCGTCTGGACGGTAGTTTCGGCTGTGTCTCGCAGTCGATATCTCAGGAGGTTATCGATGACCCGGATCGTACACCGGTGAACGATGGCCATTATCCTGGGATAGAATCGAGTACGCCGAAGGTTGTGATGAGATCAAAGCGGAAGTCGAATGGCCCCAGGCCCTGGAGTGTATCCTGTATATCGCAGATTGGAAACAGCTCAACTCTCGATGAGGCGAATGATCCAATTTCTCAGTTTTCCATATCAGAAACTGCTCTACATCAGTTAGTGGCTATTCCACCTACAAAATCCGTATCTCTCGATGCTACGTAAGTTGTCGTAGTGGCCTGTAACTACAGTCGACTCTGGCTATGGAGGCGCTCCTTATAGTTGCATTATCCCTGAGCTCTCTTTCTAAGTATCGTGCCGAGAGGGGAAGACTTACCCACCCACCCTCTTCCCCGTTCCCGCTTCTGTGCCACTCAGCGCACATTACTCGCGCTCTGTCAAACGCTAGTATATTACAGTACAGTGCGGGGTCTCCATAATATCGCTCTCTTGCCTACCAGTTATCGCGTCTCAGAGCCACGGGTGCGCAATTATACAAAGAGTCGACTGTAGTTTTTGATACAGGGTTACTTTCTATAAGTCCATATAGTTTTGACATATTTGAATAATCTCACAGCGGTTCCTGTATTCCGTTTAACAATTCATCCTCGACTCTTTTGGAAGAAACTGCCATCAGTCAGGATGGTACAGTCGTTAGGAACAGTTCCCTGCGCCGTAAGAAGGGCAAGCTACGTAAGAAGACAGTGGTACGTTATGGATTTTTCAATATCATAAATACTGAAATGAATCTTTTGTAATGTCGATAAGGTGCATACAAGAATTTTTAACGAAAAATTGTCCTTTGCTACCAGATAAGATCAGTGTAGTGTATCTAAGTTATTCAGGTAGCGTGTCCTAGTTTTAAAAATTTATCTTATCTCCAGGGACGTAAAAGCGAATCAGGTTCCGACGGTGTAAATGCCAATCATCATTCAGCTGGGAGTGACGGTTGTTCTAAAGAGCAACGATCACCGCGTCGTAACACATCGAATCGTCCCATCAGGACCATCTCCAGAGACTGCCAAGGTCGCTTGACCACGCTGGTGAAGTCAGGATCTTTCTCGGGATGCACTGCTAGACAGCAGTTATCCATTGAAAGGAATATTGTGAGTGATCCTACTGCTCCGTTCAAAGTACAACCATGCTGCCAATGGGATCCGTCAACATCAGAGACAGAGGACGAGGAACGTTCTCGTGGATGCGTCGGTTACGAGGACAACCTCCTGGACACCGTTCTGAATAGCAAGGATCTTAATAGTCAATTCAATATGGATAGCGACATTGAGAAAAATAGTCTTGGCAACAATTCCTTTTCCGAGCAAGCTTGGGATAATTATCAGGTAAATTTTATCAAGGAACGAAAAGATTAGTGTCATTACGTTGAACTTATTACATTAACAACGTATCTTTTCAGGAAAAGTATATGAGTGAGCCTTACAGCGAAGCACCTGACGTCGACGCAGCGCGTAGACTCCTGGACTTTGGCGATGACTATAGAAATTTCCTCGACAGCCAGTCAGATTGTGCATCCAGTATGAGCGCAGTGCGCGAAAATTCTCCACGGATGTCCAGAAAGAGGATGCATCATGTACGTGTCTTCTTATTGATCCTACTCGATCAGATATCAATATTTTTCCTGTGATTTATTATGTATACAAATACGCAAACTGTACGCAAGAAATCGAGCAACTTTATCAATATGTCAGAAAAAAGTAGCAAGAGATTATCTTACTAGCAATCTTCAAGATGTCTGGTATAAGATGATACATAATACAGTCGTGTCAGTTAGTCTTTCATTCTCTCCAATAAAGCAGTATACGTGACGTAAACTCTAATGGTGAATTGTCTATTTGATCTCATGTCCTCTGTAGGCCAGATATAAACTCCTTTCGAGTTAATTCTATAAAACCGGTTTGAGTACGTTCATTACTGCCGCAGAATTTTGAAAGCGACTGTAAAGACACTTGTTACATGTATTGGGTATATGTGTGTGTTATACAATATATATTGGTCTCACCACAGTCACGGTTCTTGATTCGTCACAATTTAAGATAAACACAATACAGATTACACAACTAACCAGTACAGGTCGTTCAATAAATGCTATCGTATTATTATACAGGGTGTCGGAGTCGATTCAACAGAGGATAGCGACAGCGATATGGAGGATCTGCGAAAACTCATGGAGAAGTCACAGTCGCAATTGGAAATGTCGGAGAATCTCTCATTGAGGGTCAATGGGATTCTCACGTCGGGCGATTGCGTACGTATTCTTATGCAAATATTGAATCAGCCAGCACGGATCTTGAATAAATGGCTATACGCTTGCTTGCGGCAACTACTATGGTGTATATTGGGTAATGTTAAGTATATGCTTTCCTTATGGTGGACCAAACTAGTGAAATACTCGATTAAAGTAGTCACATACTGCACTACAGTAGGAAAATGCATTAGCACCATGTCACGCAATTACGTAATAGAGCCATTGTCACACTATCTTTGGTTAATGAAGCAATACGTTAATCACTTTTAAGGTCTTTTTTTTTACACAATCGTCTATTCTGGGCATGTCTTCTGTAATGCTTTTTTTTTCTTTAATAATCTCATTGACGCACTTACAATTAGTATAATGCATTGTTGTGTATGCACTCGATGCGCTATTAATTTGTTCGGCTGCGAACGCTAATAAATAAATTTATTTATGACGCTTTGATAGTTGTTTATTTTTTTGTGTAAACCGCATCCTGCTTATAACCTTACTCTATTTATTGCTGAATATGGCCGCTCGTGGAAACTTATATTTATGTGAGTTCTTTTTGTAAATTTTTTTAGACGGAACTGCAGTGCACTTGCAAGGAAAATATACGCTGCCTGCAGGCTGTTTTAGAAGCTGTTGGCGGTGCTTTGCGCGGGGAGAAAAATGCCAAGCAGATTCGCGGTGAGTTTGATGACAGCAATAAAAAAGCTCGTAAAGGTGTGACCTTGACAGCATTACAGTCATGCGCTACAGTTTTGTTAGTCACTGCACTAACTTTGTATACTTACTACTTTCCCACGTTGATATCCTTCTGAATGATTGAAATATCCATTATTGAATTCTGATAGATTTGGCACTTTATGATGACCTTCGACACCCATAATTTGTTTCCCCTCTAAAACAATAGAAAGAAAAAGCGTCCATTGTGCGTAATCAGCAATGATTAATTGTTCATTAATGGCATGTAAAGTGTGTCGTGTATCTTGAGAGGAAATCATGATCTGGTTCCTCTGTGAGTAAGAGCATGTTCACTAATGACAATGTTTTTTTTTTTTTTTTTTCTGTACTTAGTATTATTTATTCTCTTTGTTATTCGTCCTTTTTTCTTTTTACAAGAAAAGTATTCTATCGATTTTCTTTGTGCGATTTATGTTGTCTCGGTTGTTCGGCTTTAATACTTTCTCAATTTTATTATTCTATTGCATCATTTATATCATTAGCACGTTTTCCAGGCTTGTGAATAAAGGATAATGAAAAATTGTCGGATCCTTCATTTACTACCTGAGGGATGTCTGTATGTTTAACACCTGTAATTCTTGAGACAATAAAGGTTGCTTGGATGCGGCTTATGTTGATAACTAATCATTATGAGTTCTTCAACTGTGCATTATTATTCTTGTATACTCTATCGCGCTCAAGGAGTATTGGGGACAAGGTTTCACAGTGCATGAATTCACGACCGTGACCTTGACCATGATAACGACCAACGCGAAACGATGTTAATTTCTAATCTACAGAGCAACTACGTCCCTAATACTCTAAGACTGAACTGTCAACATAAATCTAAAATGTTGATGGTCTAGCAAAAGCCTTTTTTATACGCAATAGTATATCATAATATAGTAAATAGTATTATAGCACGTAGTGTTGTCAGCATAGTAAGAAGAGACACGAATGGTGCTATGAATAGTGGGTAGCAAGTACAACTCCCACACATGAAAGCATACATAGTTGCACACGTAATACAGTGCACTAACTCCACCAGGTATATATTAATAAATAGCGGAGTAATCGTATTCCATGCAACGCTGCATTTGTTTATCATACTAAGGAAATGCAAAGTGCACAGAACGTAAAATGTATTGTCGTAATCTACAAATAATAACATATACACGTGGGTGAACGTTTTACCAGCGACTGTAACCGGTGCATGATACCACTGCCTTATATGTGCCACGAACACTACCGGAAACTGCCGAATCACCACGTTGCCTTCCCACCTTCGTCGACACTCGGCTGGCCTCACGAATGTTCACGGAAATGTACGAGCCTCGTCACGAGTACCCGTCGGCTTCGTATCCTCCGCACTTGCAATCTATATGCCGCGTTCATCGGATCACAAGAAAGTGTTGGATGTTCCGCGACTCAACTGACAACAAATGTGATTTATTTTCATTATATCGCCGTATATCACCGTGATTAACGATCCGGGTGACATGATGTTCGTACAGACTGACATTACCGCGGAGGATCTAGCCGATACATCCTGTACGTATCTAATAATGATTGACACTTCACGACACGTAATGACAATTCTGCGTACTATTATTGTTGTTGTTTTGTTAAAGCTATTTAAATTTGTAAATATTTTACGATGCTGCCAAAAATGTCAAAATGTAGGTCTGGTGACGCTTTTAATTGTTTCTTAATTTTTTTTAACGCTAGATGGTATTTTTTATACTTATAAATGATCGATTTAAAAATAATAATGATAATGCGTATAATAATAAGTTTTTAAATTCCCTGCTTTAACATGTCTGTTGACACAGCTTAGCCTGCAATATATATAGTAATCAGTTTCACTTTTTAAGATACATTGCGTGTGTACTTACTAGAGCAATTTCATTCTCTGATCGTTACGTATTCCAAGGCTGGCTAATTATATACTTACGTGTTGCCAATTCGAACCAAACTGTGGATATTACATAAGAAACGTATTTGAAAAAAAAAGCATCGCAAAATCTAAATCGACCGTTTTCTTCTCTGTTGCTGAACCCTGCCAGACTAATCGAAACTAAGAGAAATATATTGTCCTTGACATTAAAACATATATATATATATATATAATTATTGGAATATTATAGAACGCACAAAAGAGTTTTAGAAACGTCAGATAAAGTTGTTAAATAGTTATAGATAACGCATAAAGTAATACAGTAGGATTCTTATGAATTCCAAGTCTCTTAATTTATATTATTTTGGTACCTATCGTTGACTTCTAGTTACCATGTATTGCATGAAACAGCTGAAAAGTAAAGGTAAAAACGTACGTCGTTTAATCGTTAGACTATGGCTGTGATACTGTAATACTGTACACATGAAATTCCAAAAGATGGAATGGAAGAAAAAAAAACTTAAGAGACCATACAAGTTCCATAACACTGATATTCCGATAGGTAGTAACGAAAGCCACAAAGTCGTTGTCCCTTTTAAAGCGAACCGGTACCCTGTGGTGTCTCTGTATGAGTTCGTTTTCCTCTCATTTTTAATCCTTATAAAGAGTAATAACTTGGTAGAGTCACGTGGTACTTTCAAATACACAATACGAATAATCCGAGTGAAGCAGTCATTCCGGTTTTTTGCAGGAGACACGCAGATCGCATCAAGTTTGACTTTTCCACTTTTTTTAGGTTCATCACTTTTCTTAAATGTTCAACTTTGCTTGTGTTTTCGCTTACGGCAAAAAAGGAGGTGATATTATTTGGATCCCCATAGATCTTAGTAACGGGACTTGTCAATTGGGCCGGAAACTCGACGAGATTAAATAATCAAGGATAGCGCTCGTGAAAGCAGAACAGCAATAGACTCGTCGTTGAATGGTTTTAATTGCCGCCTCTTAAGTCCTTCAGGAAATCGATGTCGTTGTTCAATTAGAATGAGGTATAAATTTTGCCATTATTTTAAATAGTTTTCTGTTCCTTTGGTTCGATAATACTCGTACGGAGGTTGCATTATATTGACTCTATGCGCACTGTGGACGCGACATTTAAACTGTTTGAATCAACATTTCTCACGGTCGGTAACACCATTTTCTGTATTTAGAACGGAAGTCCTGAGAGTGGTCTGTTTTTATTTTTCTGTTATAAGGAGACCGGAAGTCAATCGTGGATCTGACACACTCGTGTTTTTACGAATTGACGAATATTTGCCTTTGTTTTTACAAATTAAACGAAAAATCATAAACTTTCTTTGATTTTGCCATTGAATTTCACGAAATTAATGTGTCGCGTGTATTTTTTCTTTCTACTTCGTCTCAGTTTCTCTTCTGTCTTTGTTATATTCTTCTTGAGCAGATATAAATGGCTAATTAAAACGAGAAGCGAGGAGAAACTGAAACGACCTTAGTAAATTTCTTTTAATAAATCAATTTCTATTACGGATTCAAAATTACCGAGAAACAAAGTGACGTTATATAGCGTTCCTATAGCGTGCAGTTAATTACTCGTTTAACGATTAAGGATAATTATCACCAATCAGTTCCGTTAGAGCGCGTACTTTCAAACGTAAAGGAAAATGGTGTCTAAAAAGGCCAGCAATTTAAAAAAAAAAGATCAAATTATACTTGGAAAACATTTTCTCTACCACTTTCACTCCTCCCTTCTAACATTCTTTTTTTATAAATACATAGAAGGAAAACTGGTACGCCGTACATTTATAGTTGCTCCATCTTTTCTTTTTTTATGTGTGCCCATATATCAATGCAGTCCTTATCGCGATAAATTTTTTGTTTAATATCTCTTTTTATCCAATGCATATTTAGTTGCTCGAGAGAAAAGAAATGCGAAAGAAAGTGCCGTATGAGATCGAGGCCACGGAAGCCTTACGGATATATCTGGCTTTCATGTATGACCGAACTCTCCTGTTAAGCCATTTGGTTGGACTTGGGTCATACATTATCTACTTGAAGTATCACACATCCTGCATATGAGATTCACAAGACATTTGTCTGACCTGAAAGAACAGTGAGAATGTATAAAGAAGAAGAAAGAAAAAACGCAGTAGAATGTATTAAGCAGACAATTTATTAAAAATTTTAATATATATTATTAGATGAGGAATAATGATTGTAGATAAGGAAAATATACTTATCGGGATTTTTTTACGGGGTGTTTTTAGGGAAGATTATTGCAGTTACTTAAAGCCTTGCGGAGTCTTGCAAACATATTTCTGTTGCAGTTATACAGGGATAATTTACGTACCGTTAGAATTTTATTGCCATAGTTAACTCGGACTGGGACAGGATTCGATTCAGTAATCGTTGTATGGATGCTAGACGATTTTCTATCCTGTTTCTTACTTTTTCTTATGGCTTTATTTTACTCTATTACTGCTACCAATAGCCACTAGTGGATAAGAACTGTATCATTAAGGACAGCGAGAAAGGTTGGGCGAATCTGTAAAGAATTTTACAACTGTACATTTTTAATGGGGATTGTTTTTTTTTCTATGGATTTATTATCATCCCATACATTGATTTTACCATGACCTTATCGGAATTCCACACTCTCCACCTTTCCCACGCAATCCACCAGAAATCCTTCGAACTAATTTTAAAAGAAGATATGGGCGAAATCGCTATGTCTAATTTTAAAATGCGCCCACATGTGTGGATTCATGCGTGCTTTTTCCACTTTAGATCTTTTTTCTCATTTCTTTAGAAACTGGCGTAGGTTTAGGGTTATCTCGCGTTGATCTTTACAGTTTCTTTTTTTACTTTTTGAGTTTTTTACTATTTTTGACGTTATGATTCGCGCGATGGATTCATCCATCTCGTCAACGCCAACCGCGAGAGGAATAGGAAATCGTTGGCTTGATGCGACAGACAGAAGGTGCGTTTACATGTGTCGAAAAAAATCGCACGAGTGCAATTCGCTGAGTGTCAAATGTGAGTCCCCGTGTGTGTTTCTTTGTCAGTATCAGCTACGTATACATATACATATAGTATAGGAGTCTTCATCAGGATGTGACAATTTCCAGTGATTTCCTATTTCAATTGACAATTGTAAACTTCCCTGCTTGCCTAACGTCATTGCCGCTTTTACTTTCTTTTCCTATAATTTCTTTTTCAAATAAATGCATCTCCTTTCTAAGCGCCTTAATAGAGGAATAGTCAGTCGGTCTATACAATTAGTCTGATATAATGGGCTTCAAATTATTTAAGTAGCAAAGTCTATTTAGGCTCGTTCTCATGTGCATCGGGCATATCGAAAAAGACCATAGGAATTCAACGGAGCGTCAAACAATCAATTAGCATTCCAATTTGGTATTCATGTGTGTACGTATCTACATATGATTGTAAGCCAACGCTAGCTTCCTACGTTGTCTGGCGTAATATTTTACTTGATATTTTATCAATACGCCTATGACTTTTTTCCTTATTCCGCCTGCGGAAGTTTTACGTACGACGGTATTTTTTATTTTACAAATGGGCGCGTTTTCACGATCGCTCCTGATGATTATTTTATATGCGGAGTGGGAGTGCTGCATTAACTTTCGACGACCGTGATTCTCGACTGGCTCGCTTGGCAGCGACAGTAAGTCGCCGACGGTAGAGTGACAGTGAGCGAAGACTGTCTTACAGAAACAGACAGAAACAGCTGAGACAAAGCAATTGTGAATATATTGAAGCAATATTTGATATATTTTCATTTACCATGGATTATATAGAGAGCAGGTTTTTACTTTATTTAAATTTAATGTGAATCATCATCAAGTAAAATAAAGACGCTATTATAGAAACAGAATACAGGTACGAAATAGAATAATGGATAAAAAAAATTGCTTGGCAATGGAAAATTTCATAACGTGGATAACAAGCAGCTTTACGTAAATTGTTGTGTTGTTCAATTATGCATTAGAATAAATATTCAAAAATCAAATATTCCTGGCGTTGAGTATTGGAGATGTACGAGTTCCCGTGTATTTGTCTAGTCGCGACTGTTTTTTTTTTTTTTTTCGAATTTTGCAAAAGGTCGTTAACGAGACTGAGTTAACTGACGAGGCTATTTGTGGCTGTAGCCAGAGTGACGTAATACACGATACGTTAAAGTAATTAAGCATATGTCTCCCGTAATTAATCTGCAGCTTGATTTATTTATTTTTCAGTCTATCGAGTGGGTATAAGGTGCAAATTTTGAAAAATCTATAATCCTACAAGGAATGTACATAAAAATTTGTTATAATATTTTTCTTCTTCTTTGGTTGATTTCAGGCTTGATAGAGCGTTGGGAATTTCTATCGAATCGAGCGGAGGAGACATGTAGAGCGAGCGTCCTGCAACGGGATATGGCCGGTATGCGTCTTGAATTTCGTCAAATTCAAGAGAGGCTTCTTTCTTATGAGATCGTTCTCGATCAGCAACATGTCCTGGATGAGCGTATCAATCAAGTCACGGTGAGTCAAAAATCAGATATTTTGACGTATCTCTTTTTTTTTCTATCACTTTTGTCGTAGTCCTTTTTTGGAATTCTTTAGGAGAGAAGGTGATCGTCTCTTATCGGGAGAGATCAATTATGTTGTGAAACCTAACAGTCGGTCATGCTGCATGACCTTAAGACCTTTTTACACGTGTCGTTGATCAATCAGATGCCTTTTATAGTCACGCTCAATCGTTTATGTGCTTGAATATGGGTTTTACTATCTAGGAGGGAGACTGTTGCTACTTGACAGCATGTTAATTCCTGACTTTGAGTTTAGTATTGTTAGTTTAATTATTGTGCTATTAGCACGTCTTATGTGGTGCAGTTTAAAATTGTAAAGTCCTTTAAAGTGGTATACAGTCGATGTATGTTCGAATGACCTTTTCAATAATTATGGAAAATTTTTATTCCTAGACTATCGAGAAGTGGCAGGTTTTGACATTTCCAAACAATTATTATGCATGTTTATTATTTAATGTATGGTAATTATCACTTTCGATTGAAAAAATTAGCTTGCGACGGGTATAAGGTGAAATTCTGTTACTGACGACAGCTACATTTTTCAATCGAAAAGTAGTGGATATGTCAACTGTGCATTGAAAAACTATGTATGTATGTACAAGACATTTTATATGAAGAACTGTGCATCATAAGCTGCACGCTAACTAGTTTTACTAGCTAAAGACTTGTGTATCACGAAATGTGTTCCGTTCAATTCTGCACTATTATTTATTAACTGTGCACAGAAAATCTTAACGCGAAAAATTGTGCACGACATTTAAAAAAAATTGTATACAGATCATCCCCCAACATATGTTAACTCAGTATAGCATTTGACTTCTGATCTAACCTATCCTTATCCTACCCCATTCACATACCTATCATGGCTATTGTGTCGGATATTCTCGTTGGTCGACGATATTTTTATGACCAAACCACAGTGAGGATCAGTAATGGCATTGAAAAATATGTTATTGCATTTGTTCAAGCAGTATTCACCACCTTACGTGAACTCAACACTAATTTTACGTAAAACTTAAGCGTCAATAATTGCACGTTTTTATATTTTTGTAATAACTATGAATAAATTACATAACTGTTAATGGTATTTAAGAAATAATTTTTGAAGCATTATAAACATCAAAAATTTTCTTTTTTAGTGTTGACTTCCCGACGGTTTGCGTGTCTATTGTTGTGTACACAGTTATTAATCGGTCGAACGTAGTTAATGAACCGTTGTGCAAAATGTCGGTTTGTCGGTTAATAAGCACAGAATGACACATTGGTTGTTACGAAAATATTCTGCTAGAACCAATCAATCATCAGATTCCATTTGTCTTGTATCGATCGGTACTTTTCAATCGGGAAGCTCCCATAATCTTTAGGCCGTAAAAATAAGTTGGGCACAGTTCTTTGCATAAGGTATCTTCTGCACAATTATTTAAATAACATATATATTTATGTAAAGTTGGGTTTCATCCATTGAAAAAAATGAACTATCCATACATAGCGCCCGATTTACCATGGATTGAAATTTTTTTCCAATCGTTTGTAGATTGTTTGTAGGTACTTTATAGGTCATTGACGATATGAAATAGTCGATCTTTTAATTGTAAATAATGAATAGTCTCGTTTGGGAAATTCCCCAAATAGTGATTCAAGAGTGCCTAGCTCGCGTGCGTAGGAAGGAAAAGGCGGCAACATTCAAATAATATTTTTTTATGCTAGGCACCCAAAGCTGTGTGATCGCTTGTTAACGACTACACTAGGTTAAGATAGTCTAGAATTCCGATGCTGGATTCTTCGAGGTTGTTTTTTTTTCTTTTTAGAAAAAACATATTAGTGTGCTATTGTGAATATTGCCTAATCGACAATTTCTAGGTAATTGCCACTTGACAGGTTTTTGTACGTATCATAAAAATCGTCAATTTCTCTCAATGTAAAATGTGCAAGCATAGCAGTATCCTTGAAGTCATTATTTAGGATTTCCTCCTTTAAGTTTTCTTATGCGACCATATTACTGGATAAGCGTTGAGCTAAAGTTTATAAATCTTTTAAAAATTGACTAACATTAATATAAATTTTTCTTCTTTAAAATTATTATTTCAATGTTGCCGACCATTACTTCATATCCATGCACGCCAGAATGAATCAATATTTTGGCAATTTTCTAGATAAAGTTATTTTTCATTATTTACAATCAAAGGATCGACTATTTAATATTGTCGAGGACTTACAAACGATTGGAATTAAGATTATTTAAATACGTCGTTGATATGGGACTAACTATGATGTTTATTTATCGACAGTTGATACACATAATGTGAACGATGGTCGGTAACTGTAGAACATTGTAGGTAAAACTAAGATTTAGACTTCTTTACCAGGTATCACTGGTAACTGTACGAAAACTGTATATGTATCTATGTTATCGATAATTCATTGTTCTCCTTACCGGCAGATCTTTGCTACATTCGGACAGATTACGCCACTTTTCCGATAGAATAACCACACATACACTTGTTAACAATAGGTTTGGTAGGGTGTGAGGTCAGTTACACATTTAAGGACTCTTACATTGTATTTCATAGGGAAGCGGTAATTAATATTTCAATCGATATCGCGACTTATTCACGAAGTAATTTTTTGTATTAATATTGTTCTGTATATAAATCTTGCTATAATCGTTAACCCAACTAAGACATTTCGTTACCGATAATTAGCAGGCCAAAAAAAAAAAAAATTCGCTTTATAAAAATTAATGAAAAAATTTCAACTAACGTGCTTGAGGAAAATCGTTGAATTATATGGAATCAAGAGTCAATGATATTTCTTTTGAAATTCGCCAATAACAGAACAATAATGACACGAGTCCCTCGCGATCCACCTAAGAATTCGTCGAATTTATATTTTCCCAGATATTGAAATCAACTTCGTGACGCATGCATTTTAGTATAAAGAGCAGAAAAAGAAGAAAGGTAACGGAGAAAGCGTATCAAAAGAAAGCGGAGAGTATACGAAGGGAACAAAACGAGCCTAGGCTAAGTTGAAACAGAAAGAACACAAGAGACAGAAATATAACAAAACCAGAGGAACGAAGAAAGAGAGAGACAGGAAATGAGTGAGCGTATAAAAGAGAGTAAAGCATAGAGAAGAGAAGAGACGGTAGAAAGGTGGAAGCAGAGAGAGAGAAAGAGAGAGAGAGAGAGAGAGAGAGAGGGGGGGGGCGTAAAAGCGTAGTCGTGTCGCACGTACGCTCGTCTGACGGCGACGTGCCCGGAATCGCAACTGGCGAACACGCCTGCCAACCTATCCACCCCCATGAGGCCCACCCCCATCGGCGAACCCCCTCCCCCTTCTTCCCAGCTTCTCATCCCCGTACCAGGAGTTCCAGCATCCTGCCTGTGCCAGGAGTCAGAAGGTAGCAGCCACCCCACCAGCACCAACCCCCTCGAGGCATCCCTTCTCCTCCAACCCTCATTGCGAAGACCAAACACATGCGCTCTATCTATCATCAAGATGTATTAGCGTCCAACATTTGCTCGCTGAACTCGGTCCCTGTTCTGCATTATGCACGAGGAACCGGAAGACTTTGACTACTGCCACTTCCGATTTCCCTGCAGCTTCCTCTCTCGAAACTTAACCTTTTATTTTTTATTTTTCCCTTTGCCGTTTTGCAAAAGCGGTTGACGCCACTTCTCGACTTGACGATAACATATAGTACATTGCGCAGTCCAATATCCCGTCAATTCCTTTTGTCTTTACACAACGATTGACAATTTATTAAAACAAAATTTTCTTTCATGAATATGCATTTTCCTCTGCGAACCTAAAACCTTTTCCCACCATTTAACCTCATTCTTTGATTGGCTCTTGCTAACCGGTTCACGAGTAGACGCGACGGCGATTTCGAATGCGCGACGGATTGCGGAAGGCGCGACGGAATGAATGAATGCAGTGTGGCGCGCGGATCAGAATTGAGTGTTGCACATGTATTATGCATTTGTAAACAGGCTCGATCGGCGCATGCACATGCGCTCGCACATGCGATAGGAGGGACGGTTATGCACGGGGCGGTGAGATTTACGTGGATTTGTCATGTATCGCAGCTTTACCTACATGCGCAGCAGTATCTCTGGGTGAAGGTGCATCTGCACGTATGAGCATGTGCAGATGCACGCGCATATACATGTATAAAGTGGTGCTATCTAAGTAGCGAAGGGCGCAACACGAAGGTAACCTCGTGCGCCGTGTGGCGGTTATGTTATGCCGCGGATGCACGTCGACCATACTAATAATCCAGCGGATTTATTATTCCGCGCATCGGCCGCTTTTTATAGGCGCGCTGCTAACACCCTGATGCTGGTACGAAATACCTTCAGAAAGCGGAAGCTGGCAGGCTGCTTTTACGTTGCCGCGTCTTTGCCGATGTATGCGTTACTTCCTTTCCGCTTCCTTAAAGTCTGTCGGATATGCAGGATCTCGCGTGAGCTTCAGGCTCGATCGGTTAAATCAGCTGAGGTTTTACGTACTTTTTTTTCGGTTCCGTAGAGACATTATGGATGGGTGGGTTCGTATAGGCCATACTAAAGAGGAACCGGTTATGTAATTTATAAGTACATTATTTCAAAAGTTTTATACCGCACCGTTTAGTCGTAATGTCGATTTTTTTATTATTTAGGAATGTACTCTAGTACTTTCATTATTATTTTTTATTACCGCTAAAATTTCACTCGATTTAAGTGTGACCGCCTGTTACCTTCTCCATTTAACGAATCACTCAATGCGCCATAATGAAATCGAAGAAGAGCGTTAAAATCTGTTAACGAGACCGTCGGCGCACTCGAGTAAAATAAATGAACGTCCCGCGCACGCGACTAAAAAGTCGCCCGTATCCACTCTAGACCTTATTCGCATGATACGATCGAGACTCAAGATGGTGGCGAATGGCGAGAAAGAAGGACTGAGCCTTTATTCGGCAATCGGTAATCGTTCCCTGGCATTAAGCCGTTTTTGCAATACGCGAACCTTCTTCAGGACGTCCCAATGAGTATAGCTACTGATGTACATCGCAAGACTAAAAGAACGTATATTTACTTGACCATAATATATATATATATATATATGTAGCAGCACACTGTGACATATAAGTAACTGAACGAAGAACACGAATAAGACGAAGATAAGGAGGAGGAATAAAAGAAGAGTAAAATAAAGGCAAAGAATGAAAGCTATAGGTAGACAGGAGGAGTCCCTTCATTGGCTGCTAAGGATAGCAATTAAAATAGTGGAAGCGGGTCTTTGTTCCAGTTAGTATCTCGGTATTACCTGATAGGCGTAAAAAAAAAGCTAATTCTCCGTTTTACCGGGGTACGTGACGGTTTCTCGATGTAGGGGTATGGAAGTAAAGAAAGGAGAAAATGATAGGAGATACATTGGGACAGACGGAGGGAGAGAGAGAGAGAGAGAGAGAGAGAGAGAGAGAGAGAGGTAGAATGAGAGAATGAGCGGGAGAGAGGTAGAGGGAGAGGGAAGGAGAGAGAAGCTTTAGAAAGAGCACCTCATAGGCATGCAAGTCCCGGAGGCAGAGCGGCCGCTCTCTGTATACCGAATTCGAATCAATTGATTGGCTGTTGATTGGAAATTGAATTAGATCGGAATGCGCGTGTCTCTCCGAAGGGGCGGCCCGTTGCTTCTGCTGCCTTTCCAATGCGCCTGGAATATCAATGCCAACCACTTTTCCATTGGGCGACACAGAGAGCCATACTGTACCGTGTGGCTCTGAATTTCTGTACCATAATTTTAGTCTTTTGGATTTCTGTTTTTCTTAGCGCATTTCTCATCTTTTTTAAATACATTTTTGTTACTTACATTTCATTGGACTAAAACAAGATGTAAATAGAGAGATTTATTGAGATAAAAATTATGTTTTCTGTTGATATTCTCTTGGATGGAGTGGGGACCACTTTCCTCTCCCTTTTCTTTGCCTACGAATTTCTTTTCACCTGGTTGCGACCTGGTCCCTCTGTTGATGTATCTTCTCATCGCAGGAGGTAAAGGCACTTTGGCTTCCTAGGGGATGATGGAGACTCGCAGGGGTTGCAGTATGACCGCAAGGGTGAACTTTACGAGCAGTCGAGCTACCGGTGGTCAGGCGATGCTGCTATGCTAGAGAGTGAGAGAGAGAGAGAGAGAGGGGGGGGGGAGGTAAAAAGAATGAGAAAAAGAGAGTGAAACAAATATAGCAAAATACGGTTTCGCAAAGGAGAGATAGATATGTGTGACGAGGCAAGGGATGGTAACCCTAGACATTGGGGTGGTGGGTGGTAAGGGGGGGGGGGTTACTTCTTCTCGTTGCCATCGTAAACCCAGAGGTTATTTATGCGGCCCTCGTCGGCCGCCTCAAGTAGGACGACGGGGACGTGACAACGTGACGTGGCTACTCCATCGGTTTAGGGCGCAACCTACCTATACATCCCTTATAGCTTATTTATGCTTTCCTATCCTCGGATTCTTCCGTTTATCTGTCCGCGTGTAGTTTAACTGTTCCTCAACCTGCCTGTAAATGAAAATGTAAATTTTCCTGCTGGTTAATCTTACTAGAGAGATATTAGTGGGCGGAAAATTGTGTATTGTGTGGTCCTTATTTGAAGTGTATCTAATGTGGACACGCGAACTGTATACGTTCTGTGAAGTTGCTAATGTATTCTTTATTATTATTGTTACAGAATGAACTTGCTCGTATAAGTGAAGGCAAGAACGCACTATTGGCCCTCAATGTGTCGACGCATCGTCTAATTACCGATGCTGGAACTTCGGCGTTACCAGGATTCCAAGTTCTCAAGGACGAGGTGGCTGATCTTTATCGTCTCTGGGACGAGACCTCGCAGAAGTGAGTGTCACACGTAAAGTGAGATGAATATCTTATCCTGTTTAGGGGAATTTCTAGCCCTGCCCTAAGGCTGGTATCATCTAGTGCTATGGTTGGTACTAGTGACTAGTGATCCTAGTCGTTCCTATGGCGATGGTTAGGGGGGTCGTTGACTGACCATAGGCCAGTTCTGGGTGACGCTACGTAAATATTGTGAGAGGTAATGAAGCCTCCAGAGCAAACATAGGGGTAATCCGGCATAGCGCACTATAGAGACATGTGGTATAGTTTAGTATAGTATAGTTGTATCGTGCAGTGCAAATTGTATGGGGGTGCAGAAAACGTAGGCGGGATCATCTTCTGCGAGCCCGTGTCCAGGGGATTAGTAAACTGAACAGGAACGACCTGATCGCGACAAGACCTGACTTAATTGACGACGGGTTTACTCAGTTGGAATTTGCCGCGTCGCGACGCCCACCCTACGGGGCTTTACTTCGACTTTACATGATAGAATCGTTTTGGCCCTTCTGCTACCAGAAATTTTCATGCGTATAGATATACTTACTGAAGAGAGTAAAGGGTAGCCGGGGTTGCTTGTGCCGGGAATTTGGAATAGGCCGGAACTTGACCTCTCACCCCTAGTGGGTCACTGGTCAACCCCTTTGGCCAGGGATTGTATCCCTATCAGCGAACGGGATCAAACGCTTAGCTGAAAATTAAAACAGGGCTTAAGTACGTAGCAGATACAGGCAAATTTTGGACAATGAAAAATAAATAATATATATCCATGAATCCATATCCGTGAGTGTTCCGAGGTCTCTAATCCGCAATACAGTGTGCGTCTATCCTTATGAGAGAAAGAAACCATGTGCCCTAAGGCTCTTTTTGTATTGGCTCCATGGAAAATGTTTTTATTTGATAAAATGATGCTCCTGTCACACTGTCTGACACTATTCTGATAGTACTTACTTACTGTGAACTGGTACCTATCCACTAGAGACTGTAAATAACGTCGGGGATAAGGCAATACCATTGGTTCTCAAATTGAGGGCTGGTGAGCATGTTTACTCAACGGCCTTGCTTTCTTTTCCTATCCTCCTTTCGACGTGACGGACGCTTACATGACAGTTCCCGCTTAATTTGACCATGCCCTACGGCTCTATCGATATTAAGACGAATACTGCCTGACTTGGATCCCTCCGTTTCCAGTTCCACTTTGATTTTTATTCTGTCCACACATTTTATGCTACGCTTTTGTCAATAACGTAGTCATTGGTCACGTTCACAAATATCAATTATGTTTGTGAAATATTTTTTTACTTTGATTGGTTTGTAAGACAAACCAAAGTGCAGTAAAAAAAGGATAAATTTAATAAATTATTTTTTTATTTTTCTTGTTTTAGGGCTAATCAACAGTTGAGTGCACTCCAAGCGGTACAGCAGTTTGCTGCTAGACTTAACGAACTTCAGAGCGCCCTTAGAAGGGATAAAGATACCCTGGCTGTGCTCGACGCTGCACTTCAGGCTGGTGCGACGTCCGAAGTTGCGTCATCGATGCGAGACGTCGCTCGACTTCTTTCTGAAAAGCAAGATATCTGCTGTCAAGTAAGATTTGAATTTCATTTTTATTCTCACTCGAGTAGAAGTTTCTGATGATAAGCGGATTACAGGGTTTATCAGGGTTTGGTAATCTTGTTCATGTTAAAGTCAATTTTATTGGACATTTCAATGATTTCTGGGAATTTTTGAGTTGCTTAATGGCTCGTATCTAGACTGAATGATAATTAAATATAATGGCATTGATTTTTGTCAAATTTTTATTTAGGTACATCAAAATGAACACATAAATTGTCAAGGTATTAATAAACATTCAGCGAGGAGGATCTAATGAATTAATCATGCTCTGCAATATCTATTAAAAACAACTAGGAATATTGATTAGGTATATGTAGGTACCAGTCAAACATAAAACTTATTAAAACATAAAACCTGGAAACTAATGAAATTTTCAAGAATCACGTATAGAAAGACAAAACTGTAGGTCTTATAAATGGCGTTTTCTGTGTATAACTTTGCATGTACGCGATAAACTCGAAAACGGAAGAATCGAATTTAACTTTCAGAGGGCTTTAAGCGAAACAAAACAAAATTCTAATGCAGAGTGCTCAAGAAATAGAGTGATGCAATTGTAGAGCTATATAAATCTAAATCTAGCAGACGCTGGAAGAAACCACAGAAAGCGAGTAATACGAAAATATCAAGAATTCAAATTTATCGATTTAAAATAGCAAAAAGGTCGAAGAACGGAAAGATCACGATGCGTACCAATATCTCGGAAGTAACTGAAGCAAGCCGCGTCGGTCGATCGTGCCATTCGCATATCCAACTAATTTCAAGTGGACCTTCCATTACGTACATAATGATTCGTAACGAATCGCAAGCGATTTCGAACGATCGTGCAGATCTCTATGAGAGAAAAGGTACAGGAACAAGATATACGTAGATTATATAAGTACATTTCGATGATAGCCAGAGTCCTCTGATCTGAGCAGTGTAATGTACAGTGTGCGTATATTACAAGAAGCTATAGTATATTAATGCATAGTATAATTCAGTTCGGGGAAAAATACAAGTAACGGTGTGGATGCAAGTAAGAGGTTGAAGGTAGAAATGAGAGAGGCAAGAGATGATGGGCATAAGATGAAGATGAAGCATAGAGGTCGGAATCGAGATGAGTCGGTAAGGTCGGTAGGATGATGGTGCAGCGTGGGTCACGGGCGGCACCATAAGACCACCATAAGGGCACTAAGTGCACGGCGGCGTGTTTTGCATCCTGACCCTGAGAGACTGTACGATGATGGCTATTCCGACTGCGTATAAGGCTCACCTCCTTTTCCGAACCTCCTGTATCTCCTCCACCTTCCTCGTATCTTCTTTCGATTCTCTTGCCTTGTTCAGCTTCCAATCTCTTTCTTTATTTTCATTCTTTTGTCTTTCTCCTACACACCTTCTTCGTATTCGACTATGGTCACGGTGTAGCAGAACACTCCACCTCGTGCACCTGCCCATCCTAACCCCTTATAATATTCCAGGACGCAATCGGACCCCGCTTTACTCGCGCTCCTGAAACGGGGCCCTACTATGCTCCCACGTCTCACAGATCTCGCCGCCTCAACAGGCCCCCCCCTCCCCCTATTCTTATAGGTTCCCACAGTCCCGACATGCTGCTTTCGTACAGTAGAAATTGAAACTTTGAGTAGGCACTGTTGATTTATACCCGCTGACTAAAATATTAATGATAAGCATTGGTTTCGAACAAATTTTGATTTTATACAAAATTTACCAATAAATTAATAGTCAAGTTGGATACTTGATTATTAAACGAATCCAGGCTTGAGAAATTTCATGGCTTCTTATAGAAAAAAATGGAATAAAGGATAAACAAAATAATTCATAAGGATATGATCATTTGTTCAGTTAGATTTACGATCGCAATCTAACGAGCCTGGGTTATATGTATCACGCAATTCTAGTACCTGAGAATAAAGATATTTCATGCGTGTAATCCCGTATCACAGTAACGACTGACTATCCTAAGGACAGCATCCCCATCTCTCATACAGTATACGTCTAATAGAGCAGTTAACTAGTAAGTGTATGGGAGGCTGTACCTGGTCCGTCACTGATTTCATCTGAGATTCAATTAAGAACCGTTCGGAACAATGCCTTGCTCGGGTCAGGGTCATAGATCACCGTGACGCTACTGGCTAACCAACCAGTTGCCATGAGAATCATGAGAACCCCACAGACTGCACCACTTCCAATCGGATGTATCAGGTGTCTATGCACATTAAATATGATTTTCACCTGTAGCCATTAACCCAGGTTGATCTCTAGTTAAAAAAGAAAAAAGAAACTAGATAAAAATACTCTATGCTCAATAACTCCTTATATCCACTTTATGCTGCTATCACGAATTTTCGTCTTATCCCCACTGGCACCTCGCGTCACCTCTTGAAAAGGGCCCCACCCTTTGACCGATGACACTTGTCGGTCCCGTGGCTCGCCTAAACGCCGTCACATCCCTCCATTTCCTCCACATCCGTCTCGCATTTGCATATAAAGTAAACTCCCTTCTCGACTTACTCCATCGGGCACACTCCTTGGCATCCTCCCGCTTTCCTTCGGACGATAGAAGAAGAAAGTACTAGTGCAGTAACGTCTGATACCGTTGTGGTGGTAGGACCGACAGTGGTGTCGCTAGTAGTAGTAAAATTGGTAGCACTGGGTTACTCGCAGGCTCGACTCCCGATTGCCCTGCGCTCATTTCGCCTGTCAGGAAGACGTACGGCTCTGCCTAGAATCCCTCTCCCCCCAAAGTTGGCATACCCACACTATCCGACGACTGTAGGCTTTTTTTTTTCTTTGCATTTTCACCCTGATTCTTTACTCCCGGATTTTCTGGCTCCTTTGCCAATGAGAATCCCTCTTGACTCAGTCAAGACTTCTTGCGCCGCTTCCTGAAATCGAGACGACACACTCGCACTCCTCTACTGGATTTACAATACCCCGGGGAATAATCGTGGTTGAGATATACCTCAGTACGGCCCTGATCCCCGACTTCTCCGTGAAAACATCCTGGAAATCCTCTGTATACTCATGTCGAAATCAAACTTCCCGCCAAGCAGATTGCGTGGGATTGGCTCATTTTTCTTGTTTAGTGCACTGAAAAAATAGTATGCAGTCACGGCGCATTGCGTTCTGAATATTCTCCGTGCTCTGTACGCAGAGGTGACTTCCTGGGGACACTTTGTCTTTTCAAAAATGAAAATGAAACACAAAAAATGGCAGCTGATTCTCTAGCCTAGGATTTGCTGGTTATAAAAGAGATGGAAAAAATCCATACATTTTGATAGCTACTAAATAAAATGTCGACCAAATGGGAGAGGAAGGTCCGGGCATCGCATCGGAGTCTCGGAATCGTTTGGCCTTCGTAAAAATAGCGCGAGGGTGTCGGGGATCCTGGAGCATCTCTAGGGAGTCGGATCGTTAATCGCCCGGACGATTCCCTTTCGGCTCACGTAGCGGGATGGCCCGTGGAATCAGCGTAAAAATACAAATTTAATATCACCCGAGGATCAGCGGGCCGAGCGTGGTGCCCGGACCTACTGGAGAAGTTCCTGACTCCTTCCACTCCTGCAAATGGATATCCGAACGGCTTCGTAGTGCTGCGGCTAATCGCCGATATTACTGGACTCACGGGTTTCCACGTATTCTAGATTTCTTAAGGCGGCTCTTATCCTCCAGAGACAGAGCTACATGTATACGCAGCTTCAATCGAAGACAATACGTAATATCTATTGTCGGAATAAACAAAAACTTAATACATTATTGCAATTTCTATTTCAAACTTATTTTACAAAATTTCTATCAATTCCGTGTCCTTCACTATAGCCAAGCTCTTATGACTTACAGTATAAAAGAGTTCTCTGAACGACTAGAAACTCTTATACAAAATTATCACATAAAATACAATATACATACAGTACGATAAACTATATAAGGTCGTCGGTCACAAGAATGAGACGTATAATCATAACAATAAACGTACCTGATATTCCAGTTGTGTGGGCCAGTCTAACCAGTGCACGACTACACGATAATTCCCAACAGTGTACTTTGTTTTCTCAGGAAATGTGATTAGTAACACTATAGGATACTAGAAACGTACCATGAAAGTGAAGTATGAAAAAAAACTAAGTTCAAAAAAAGGGCATAAAACAAAAACATACGCACAGGACTGTTTTCGTTCTGTCTGACCAGAACTGTTGGTATCCACTACCCGTTACGGAAGAGTATAGCTGTCTGTGTATGTAGGTTAGGCTGGGGGTTACTACTTGGTATGCGGATCGCGCTTTTCATTACCGGAGGCTCGTTCCACGCGTCTCCGCCGCTGCAAACAGCCTAAATCTACTCCCACCCCGTCTGCTTTCTCCTACGGTCTTCTCGTACACTCCAGGTTTCCTTGAACGACCCTCCTCCTCCTCCCTCCCTCCCTCTCTCCGTCCTACACGCTCATTCTCTCTCTCTCTCTCTCTCTCTCTCTCTCTCTCTCTCTCTCTCTCTCTCTCTCTCTCTCTCTCTCTCTTTCTCTCTTATTCACTCATAGAGAATATACCCTGCCCCCCCCTCTCTCTCTGTTCTCTTCGTCGCATCATCGTCTTACCCCCCTCCCCTCCAATCTCCTCTCTTGGACCGACATCCGCCACTGGATTATACAATATTCGATATCATACTCAGGAGAGAGCCTTCTCAGACTCCCTTGGATATTGGTACACTACGATCCAATCAACGCCTTCCCAATCTTGCCAAGAGGGATGATTTTGTATAGGGATTGACAATTTTGTACCACCCTTAGAACGTCAGACTTTCGAATTATATCGGGAGAACCCGATGTGTTATGTATTTATACTTGCAGTGTAATATATAATGTGAATTATATTTCTGTTATTGGCATGTTATTGATATTTGTATTTTGTTATGGTATTTGCTTTTTTTTTTTGCAGAACGGCAATACCGTGACCTCCGTTAAGGATAAGGAAAAGGATAAGGATTCTGAGAACTGTCAGGACGGCAGTAGTAGCATGGTGATTGGTTCCTCCTTAGCACAGGAGGGGGGCGGCTCGCTGTCTGACAGTGGAATTTCTGACAGTGGCAGCGAGCAGGAATTGAGCGAGAGGGAGCGACGCCTCGCGACGTTGCGTCGGCTGGCTCGGACCTTGGAGACTCAGCTTGCACCAGGAAGCGCAGCCCTCGCGGAACTTGCCAAGAGGATCGAAGGTGCTGAGTGCGAATTGCGCGGTTTGCAGAAACAGTGTCGCGAATTGATTGTTCGCACAGCTGCTAGTGTTGAGGCTCGTGGGGTTGGCAGAGCGAGAAGTCAAGCTACTGCGATGGTCAGGTGAGTAATTAAAAATTTTTTAATTACAAATATTCTTTACTTTTATTCTTTTGGTACTTTATAAAATTAATTGTATTACGATTGTGTTTGATTTTCGTGTGGTATTACGGGGGTGGGATAAAGATCAAATTTTATATTTTTTTAAATGGAAAATGTAATTTTCAAATTTCTATTCTTATGCAAACTTGATGTACTGTTCTGGAGTAATTTTATTCTGGAGAGGATCTCTCCGCATTGGGAAAAATGTCTTTTTCATTAAAAAATAGTTCCCTGCTTCTCTTGCTCCCATACTCTATGGGGGTGTTAACACAGTCCTTTTATTTGAATACGGAAACTCGCGAGCGAATTAACGAGTAGACCTCTGGGGTAGGTCGCAGCTGTGAAAATGAATAATGGCATCGCGTAAGAAACCCATATTTTTCTTTTGTATCCCCCCCCCCCCATCATTTTTTTACACAAGACGCTCTTTCCGCTTCTCGTTCTAATAGTTAATACAAGTTTGAATAAAATTAAAAATCCATCCTGCAACTATTGGTTTTCACGAAAAAAGGTTCTACAATCTTGATCGAGTTTGTTCAAATTGCACTACCATATCATTACCAAAAAAAAAATCTTCAAACTCCAACAGCACAGTTTATTTATTAACCATAGAAGGGCGGTAAAAAAAAGGAACAAAAAAGTCGAAAGTCAAAAGTAAAAAATTGGCACTTTGCTAAGCGTAAAGCGAGAAGGCCAACTCCAAAAGTAGTCAATGTGTATGCGAGACGTAAGGTCGAGCTGCTGGCCGTTTAGTCGGCAACCAGAGAGGAACTTCTATATCGAACCTTGCACATCTATGAACCCCCCTAGCACCCCTTGCGCGGCAACCCTCTAGACTTTCCTGCTTTTCCATCCCTCCTGCACTCCTTCCACCCTTACCCTCAAGCTTTTCCCTTCCTCCTTATTTTACCTTTCTCGGAGTCACTCGCACCCCGTAACCTTCCTCGAAAATCTTTTCCACTTGCGAAAGGGGGATGCGAGTGTGCATCACGTTGTAAAAACATGACAGTAACAGGAATGTCATTTTTATTTGGAGGGTGCTCTGCGGCAGTCCTTCACTTGTCGTTGCTAGTCGAATTAAAAAAGTAACAAATTTTTTTTCTACACCCGTTCTGAATATACGGATGCTGTAGCGGCAGTGCGAGAGAGCAAAAAAATATAATCATTGTCGTCATCAACCCTCTGTCTCAGGAGCTCATTTAACTTTGTTCTACGGCACTGACTTTTATAGTTACGTTTAATCATCGACCAGGGTTTTGCAACAGTGCCGGTAATAGGTTTAGTTCTCGCGGGTGCGAAACGTCTCCTATATTGCGTCGTAAAAAGGGTGTAAAAACTCGCCGGCGAAAGAAACACCAGCGGCAGTAACACCCCTTGCGTATTTCTAGTTTCTCCGCAACCCCTCCGTCTCGTTGCGGAACCCTTGGTATCCCGAGCCGGCCAAGACAGTAGTAGCCCCCTTTCTTTTTTCACCTCCTATCTTTATACGTCTATGCTCTACCCTTGAAAAAGCGCATGGGGATTTTTCCCCTTTTTTTCGCTTCTGGGATTTTACAAACCTCATACAAATGTGTAGACAAATTTATTACTCCATCTAAAGCATCCCCTCAGCAATACTCCCTTAATACTCTGCTATAGTATTGTACTATCCCTTCGCAAGTCGTTGCAATATCGAGGTACCAATGAACACCTCGTATGATTACAGTAAACGCAAGAAGACTACAAGCGCTGACATGGAGGTGGACACTCTTCTGGATTCACTGTCCAACAGCAGTGCCAGCACTACGACCGATGGCGGTGACCCTGATAACGAACCGGGAAGGCCCAGCGGCTGGATCTGGCGTGTCCTCAGGGCCGCGCTACCCTTTCAACTGGCGTTGGTAGCACTGTTCTGCGCAGCCTGTTTACTGGAACCACATTGCTGCGAGGCTGCCAACACACTTAATTTATCGCTCACGCCGCAGTTGCGTTACGTGCGGGGCCCACCGCCAGTTTAAAGGCCTTACGTTACCTTTTAAGTGGGTTCGCATCTACTGGTATCGGATGGTTCATGCTGCAGAAGTGCAACCGTTTAGTACGGTCAGTGCGTCTGGTTGGGATTATGGACGATCCACTTGTAGTAGAGCATGACCAGAGAATAAGGGCGAATTTTCAAGAGACCATTTTTTAAGAAGGTATGTGACTGTGCTCGAGAAAGGATCATCTTTTTTTTTGTACTTCTTTGTATTTCTTTTCTTTTTGTTCGTTTTCAGTTGAGTATCTATTCTTGCTTACAACTCGTTAAACTTCTTTTTTGTACTCCGTGGAATAGAGTGCACTGTCAAACGATCTAATGCGATCGATTATTTATCCCTATCGGTAGCTAATATTCTTAAGTATTAACTTACTGTTTTTGTTTTTCAATTGGTCAGTTCTATTCTTTTTCTTTTTTTTCCTCTTCCTTCCCCGTCTTTTTGTCTAGGAACTTTTTCTCTATGGAAAAGTTCATTATATATATGTATATATGTTTGGAAAAGTATATAGACATATATGCTATATTTGTTGCTGGGGGATACTTTGGGAACAATTTCATTTACGAAGTCGCCATTTTGAGGACAAGTCGCTGTTTTGGGGACCCTCCTCAAAGAATTTTTAGCGTAATGACTGTTTTGAAGACCATAAAGCGGACTGTCTCACCAAATTTGTTTATATTTTATCAATATTAGGCATCCAGTATTTGTGACGGGGTTAGAAATGTTTCGTTATGTTATATCAGGTCAGAACTTCAATGCTGTGATGTCTCAAGGTAGTAGTTTTTTTTTTAACATTTACTTGCTACCGTGAACGCCCTTTAATTTTTCATGTTCCCAAAGTATCTCTTTGGCAAACTTATATATATATATATTAACATATATCGTATACAAACCTTTATCACTGTAACCGAACACCAAGCATAAAATGAATGCGCGATCGATATATCTTAATCCGTCGATCAAAATAAGCGCAATACATGTAGAGAGTATTTTTCCATAAATTTTTATAAGAAACGAAAAAAAATTGAATAGCCAGAGAGGCATTTTCATATTTTAATCTTTCATTTATGTCCTATTTATTTACTACGAGTGCTGCATGCGCCTATGTCTACACGTAGTTATACATAGCTTAGAAGGGGATGACGAATCAATTATTATCTATTTTATTCAACAATTTTTTTATTTATACCAAAATCTATTGATCCGAAATCGATTCATAAATATTCGTGCGTCGTTGTGCCACATCCCCTTCAATACGATACGTTATATAATATTTATATATCGTTCTTATCAATCAAATATTGCGTGTGTTATACCAGTTCGTATGCAACGATATGGTCGAGCGGTAGTAAAAAATGAATTACTCGTTTTTCGAATTTTTAATTGTTTTTCTAATTCTATTAATTCCTAAAGTTTCATCAATTTTCCTCAAGTTCATTTTTCACTATCTCTCGTTACCTTTTTTGTTTTTACTGGCTTTGTTTTTACTCTTGCGAGCTTTGTCCATATAGATATAATATAGATCAAGAGAAAAACGGAGTTGTAGATAGATAATTGAAAGCGAGGAGAAATCGAAGAGCTTAATTAACCCGATGACCTGTACGAATGATCCAATCAGAGTCAATCTAGTAACATTCGTATAGATGTAGGTATCTATGGCGTGTGCTACATATTTCTCTTTCGATATACATATACGATTGTCAAGCATTTCTGTGATTATCGACTTTTATCAAAAGACGAAAATGCGTGTTTATGGATTTCCTATTTTTCTCTCTTTATTTCATGTTGCTAAGATATCCATTTTACCTTTTTGACCTGCGTTGAAGATAATCAAATGAAGCAAAACAATACTTGTCCGTACAGTAAGATCAAACAAATTTTCGTTTTATTCTGCATCTAACATTTCGTTTTTCACTGCACATGAAATCTTGTCAATCGGCTCTATTATATCAATTCATTGACTTAAAATAAAAACAAAAAATGTACTTGACATATTTATAAAAAAGAAAGGGAAAAAATGCACGACGCTTACCGTGTAAGTGGTGACGTGCATGCTATGTGTTCCCATGTAAATAGTACTATGGCCCGTATTCAGAGTCAATTCTTCGTTTTAAGCACGATCTTAAGACATCCTCTACCATGTGTTATTATAAATATATCTACGATCTTAAGACTTCGCTTCGTCTCAAGGACTGACTATGAATACGGACCTATATATCATATATATATATAATGATATATTATATATGCGACCGGAGTTGGCGATTTTGTTATTTAAAGAAATGACCTTAGAACGGAAAAACTCGGAGTAAAACTTTCTAAGATTCCAGTTTTGAGAAGATATAAATCGAAAAAGATTATCGAAATAATCTTGAACTGTGACGTACATAATCCCATGCCACCATGTAGCCATGGAGAATTTTTGGTGGATGGAAAACAAAGTTGGTGCCTTTTTGCGATTGAGAGACGAATCAAAATGCGACTTGGAGACTTTATATTTCAAAGGAATTGAACATCACTTGGTGTTTTTCTCTTGTCTTCGATTTTTCGAGATTTACCCTCATGTGGGAGTCGCTCAGAATGATATAAAACGTAGCCTCGAATCGAGTACTTATTGTTTACAAATGTCCACTGAGCGCACTCGTATTTTATCGAGAATTTTGCAAACCCTCAACCACGAATCGTATATATTATACTTAAAAAGTGAAAGAAAAAGAAATTGAGAATAAAAATGTAACGGTGTGTTGGTGATTGACGTAAAAAAAAATTGCTACGCACGATAAGAAAGTCCCATAGCAGGTGTTCATAATAATGTGGTTCGATAACGTTAATCGCTCTGCATGGGACTCTGCGAAATGTCCCGTTTGTATATTTTTCTTTTTATTAAAGAAAAAACGAACAGGGAGTGAAAAAATGACGATCGAAAGTCAATTACACAATAAGAGAGACAATTCTTATTACGATTAGTCTTACAATTTATTATTATAAGCGATAGCGTTATCATGTAATATGCAACTAAGGGCGGGTTCGTCATTGGTGTCGTTTCTACGTGTTAAAATAATTTGTATAATAGAAAATTAAATGATAGCAAAAATTTATATTTTTAACTTGATTTCGTTTTCAGATATTTGAATTTACCGCCAAAACCGTATATGTTCCTTTGATTGGTTGGCCCGAAACGATACCACTGACGAAACCAGGGCCGTAGAAACTGCCTTATTTACCTATGATAATGTGTATAAAGTACCTGAGCGTAAGAGAACATTACCTACAGACCCCTATTTAAGTAACGAGAATTCTATTTTAACGTAAAAGTTTATTATTTCATATGTGTCCTCTACAGCAATAAGAGATGTTTTTCATTTTTATTGCTTTCTAGGATTAATATAGGTGCGCCCAATAATTGACGATGCGCGACTGTAATGTGTCGCGCATTACATTATTAATTATGCATTTACAAAAGTGACAAAAAAAATTAAACAATACGATCGTTCGCTAAATTGTTTTTGACAAAAATTTCCGTATCTTCATGAGCGTCGGTAAAATTTGATGGAATCTTTGTTCGCGATTAAAAAAAAATAATAAATTTAGTTTTCGATAACTTATCGATAGCGACCGATTTTTCAAAATTGTATTACACGGTTTTAAAAAAAGCTGCTTAACCCATTTCTAATAGACTTTCCGGCGGATACGGAATTTTTGTCTTATTAAAAAAAAAAAAAATGCGATGATCCTTATCGGTATATTTTTATTCCTCGATTATCGTATAGTAGACAATAAGATAACGTGCATGTGTTTTCTTCATTATTTTTCTCTTCGTAAAATTAGTATCCTTCGTATTTTCCTCATTTTATTAATATCCAATGCGAAGAAAGAAAATAAAAATTATAAAGTAAAAAAAAAATTAAGTGAGCTCCGATCACACTCACTGATGGCAACTTGCTCAAGCATCTGCTTCTTTAAGAATATGTTCACCACAACTGATTTTGCGCCCGAGATTGTGCATTAATCGTTCGTTATTATTCTTATACTTATTTTCATTATTATTGCTATTATTATTACGTTTATTATTTTTATCATCTGCGTTTCGATTGACAAATCTCGATCGCTTCCATCGATCTCGTATCAATCAAAATAGAGTGCAGCGACTTTCGCAAATGTGTGAAAATAAGTTTCGTCATTGTCATTTTCGAAGACATACTAAAAATGAAAATATATAATGAGGAAGAAGATAAGGGAAAATATACATAAAACTAATCGAAACGCGCAGCCATTGGCAGATTATCGCATATTAAAGTCATAACTACACTATTGAAATTAATCGCATAATCATTTCGCCACACCGTCATTAATTTTACAATAGTATCTTGTTCTTGCGCGAAAGAACGAGAAAACAATAACGTACCTCTGTCTACAATTTATGGATAATCGCGGTGTATTTGAAGATTTTTTAAGCAATAAAATATCTTTTGGACAATGTAATCTCAAAAAAATATTTATCCGTACACAAAAATCCCTTTGATATTCTTTTATAACATTAATTAAAGGTAAGTTACAATATTGAATATGCAAGAAAAATATATAATGATGAATTAATCATTTATCATTACTCAATTTTTTGTAATCCTTGAAAAGAAAATAATAGTATGAAACAATATTTTGTAGAAAATCGAAAGAGGCTAGCAGTAACAAATGATACTTTAAGTGATTGATTGTATCTCTGATCTCTGAATGACGTTGATGACAACAGTAATGATGATAATAATGATAGTATATCCAATGGTAGAGGAGGAAGGGATGATACGAAGGGTCAAAGGGTACCATCCGGGGTATAATGCCGTCGATTCCAGTAATAACGATTGGCTGCGATTGATACATAGGGAGGACGATGATTACTGCGTACAGCCGTCGATTGTGGGGCGGCCCTAGTGAAGTTTGCTGCAGGCCGAAGGCCAGGGGGTAAGAGGTTATAGGTCAGACACGCCATGTTATTACGACTCACACCTGTAAGCGCACTGAGGGCCCTGCGTCCAGCCGAATTATTCTCTACTGCTTTCAACCCCTCTTAAAGGGATTCATCACCTTCTCGACCTTCCCCAATGGTTGTACGAAGTCAATCAAAGACTGAGTAGTCATTCGTCATGGAATAAAACTTTCTTTTCAAGATAATGAATAAAACTGCCAATTGCATTCGTTAATCGTTATACAGGGTGTCTGAATTTAGTTAACATGAACGGATATCTGAAATCAGTAGAGATGGACACATTTTTTTTCCTACTACATTTTCTCAATTTCGAGGGGGCAAAAAGGTGCTGATTTTCGTTCATTCATCGATCAAGCCATTTTAGACGATCTTGCCAATTTTTGTTTAAATGATAACCAATTTTGTTCTTTTACTCAAGATGCTGGTAGCACCGAGACGATTTCAAATATACACGGAGACAATTTTTAGTTAACATTTCCCATGAAATTCACGATAAAATTTACCGTAGAAACCAGTAACTGTGGAACATCGTTACCATTTCATTACCTATTGCTTATAAGTTATAACACACGATATTTTCAGTGGCGACACGTAAATTTTACAGTGCACACGTTAAATATTGTTAATTGCAAATTTTATTACTTTCCACGGTAAAATTTACCTGACTCAATGTACAATTTTCTGTTATACGAAAAAAAAACTGGTATAACCAAACACTGATTGATATTTTTACACCATTGCAAAACGTGTAGTGTTATTTAGGAGCATTGCGCCAGCTGATGTTGGCCTCATTCATTCGATCTTTACGGTAGAAACATATTCAGACTGCTCGGTAAATCTACATTTATTAATCTAAATAGTACTTTTCGAATACATACTTCTAATTCTTTGCACATATATATGAGAAAATAACTAAAACAAATAAATATAAATTAAGCAAGATTTTATTAAATTAATACTATTTCTTAACAACATATTGGCTACCATATCTCATACGTACTGCATTTGCATCAACCCATCCATACATTTGATTATGATTGATAATTGCCTATTCATAATTTTTACTAATAATTTCATAGGATTGCGCGGGTTCATCTAAAGAAATATCTTTTAACGACTTTGCGATTATTAGAATCCTCATTGGCATCAATTAAAATTTTTTGAATATCATAAAATAATGGTCCATCTTCGGAAAGCACTATTATAATATTACCTATCTATAAGAATGTCGACTTCGTGAAATTGATTTTTGTTAATGGCAGAAACTACATCACAGCTTTGTACGTGAAAGTAAGCAAAATTACAAAAATGATTTACCTATCACCAGATTTTACGATAAAACTTTTAGAAGTCTTTAGAAAAACATAAAAAGTCACAATGTTTTTCGTGGTTGATTTCAAAGATACGAATGGTAGTGCACGCTCCACGGTAAAATTGAATGTAGGTAGCGCACGAGATAATTCGGCCGTTTTAGATGACTTTAAATTCAACAAGGTTTTAAGTTCAACAAGTTTTGCACTGCATATTTTCAAGTTTTTGACATTTTTACCGTACGCTTCAGTGAAAGCTGACGTGTCGTTTTTACTTTTTAGTATATTTTCGTGATTTGCTCTTAAATCTATACATAGGTAATATGTCATGAAATACTTCGATGTCCGGTGATTATCGTGAGTTTTACGGTAATTGTTAATTAAACATTTTCTCCGTGTATAAAATTTTTTAGCGTTACAATGACTATGACTAGTATAGTTTGATTATTTTTGAAAAATATTGTGTCTCCTACTATCAACGATAGTACATGGCATCGCATAGCCAGACAGTCGGTAGTTGGCATATCGTACTGTTGGCACTGCTGTAAATTTCAATGCACGAGAACACGACGGCTCCATTACGCAATGTTTCCCGTGCACGGTTTGCAGTGAGATTGTAATTTTGCGAAACGGTAATTTCAGCTAAACTCAGCGAGCGAGCAGCGCCTCGTCCGCAGCTGCATCTGCATCATTACGAATCCTCACGGATCTTGAATACAAGAGATTTCAAAGTCTCCGTCCTTCCTTCGTACATTTCGCCTTTACTGTCTACTATCTCTCACTCATCCAGGATGTTCCGTGCTCTGAAAACAACCATCAATTAACAGGGTTAATTTGTCCAATTAGCAAAGCGCACAGATAGAGACAGGTACGAGGCTTCTTCTTAGTTACCCTGCGCGCTGCCATCTAGTGAGAAATAGGTAAAACGGAAGAGAATCGTGGTACGCCTTGTTAATATTGCGCCGCTGTTCTCCTTGTAAATTACAAAAGTTTATATCCTCTTCACGTAATCTCCTTATAGCCAGGGCGCCCAGACACTTGTGCCAACTTCGGCGTAGGAGTCCTGCGTCGCGACGCCGCCAACATGCTGATTTCTCGACACCGTTTCCATCGGAGGCCACCAAACCGCGCTGTACTGATCTCGCTAAATCCGACAGAGTTTCCCTTTTATATCTAATATCTATATACATATATAGTATAGTATATGGGATTTCGAAAAAGGTCAATCTCTATAGTATTCCTGCAGGAATTTTTAAAACTCCTCGTCGCGCACGCGTGGACGCTCGTAAATCCGTAATGTCTAAAATACAAATTGAATTGTAAAAAGGAATTTGCGCTTTTTCGTGACGTCTACAATTTTGCAATGTTCCCTTTTAACATAGAGATTACCGCTAGGTAGATCGGTAAGAGTCACGATTTTGGACGGAAGGTGATTAACCTAAGGAAGGTCGTTGGTTAATTTAATATGGGGCGTTAAGATGCTACCTGAGAGATAGGAATTGGTTCAGCGAGTGAAATGGTGGAAGTTTAGCGCTCTAATTCGTAATTTACGAGTGCCGAGCCGAGGCGTGCCAGTAGTAATAGTAACGGCCATTGTGGATTCAGCAAGTGGAAGGTGAAAAGCCGCGCGGGATGGAAGGTTTGGGGTTAAAGGAGGGTTTTAGGGTGGTTTAACGAGGGCAAATGAGTGAAGACAAGAGGTATTATTTTTATAGGGACGAGCCCCTGGTGACGGATCGGCCAACTAAATGGGCCGCGTCGCCGCGCTCTACGACTCCTGTGGGTTTCACCCTCAACCCCTGGCCTTCATGCTCCCTGGTGCAGTTCGTCCCCCTCCCCCCTGTTCTTGCCTGACTTACTTAACTACGGCAGGGATCACCCCCCCCTCGCCCCCCTTCGCACAACTCACCCCTCCGACCTTCTCATTGTCCCATCTTATAAAGCCTCAATCCCCTTAGTTTTCTTATTTTTCTCTGTGCAAGGGTTGAGAATGCCGCGAGTCGTAAATTTCCGAGAGGGCATTTTGATTAAATTTTTTATTATTCCACCCGGCAGAACCTTAACCGACAACCACCCCTTTACTTCGGCCTCCTGTTCGCACGAATCCCCAACGGGACCCGGGGCTGATTTACTACCGGCACACGGCCATTTTATATTCGACGGACGAATCTCTAATTACTAAGAATAATTTCTTCATTATGAAATATTCCCATAAAACTTGACACCCCAGTACAGTCTCCCATAAAGAGTCGGACAAATATTCTAAAAAAATTACAGAAAAGCCAATGTAATCGATGTGAACCAACCTAGTAGTATAAATAATCTCAATACATATATAACAGCCTGTTATGACGTTTCGATATTGTTATACCCAACAGCGTCGACACAGATCGATGAGTCCTGAAAAAGTATTAGACCCTAGTCAGCACTATTGTCCCACAAGAGCATTACTAATATGACATCCCCCGTAAAGTTAGTCTAGACTACAATCCTTATGCTCAACAAGTGTCCCTCCTCAGAGGAAGACTCCTGGCGTGTCTCCGTCCCGCAGCGCAAGAGGTCCCGGAGGCGTAGACTCCGCCCCCACGCTCGAGAATTGCCAGGTGGGGGATATCACGTGGTCCACGGAATATCCGCGGGAGGCCCCGCCCCCGCGAGAAGGCCCGATCTCCAGGTCATTCATGGCCGAGCCACACTCTCCGGCTCGCGAGTCTAGTGCGCACACACACCTGTCGTCCCGACGCGCTCTATATATACGGCCGACAGCCCCTCCCCACCCCTTTGCCCGTCCGATCTACCTGACCCCCTTCTCCTCGCCGCCGCCGCCGCCGCCACCACCACCACCACCACCACCACCACCACCACCACCGACATATCCCACTCCCTTTCACCCGCCGCCCTCGTTCCACCTTCCTTCCACACCAACCGCCTCCTACCCTCCCGCCACTACCCGGCCCCCTCGTCCTCGTGCGCCACGAAGCTGGCGGTCCACCTCCTTCCCAAAGGCTGGCCGACCCGAGTCGGCCGCCGCGTATCCTCCGGCAAGCTTGCGCGCCGATCCGCGGCTCTCTTCTTCCGGGCAGTGATAATCTCGACGGTTCGGGATGTGGTGTAATTACAGATAACTGCAGGGGAGCCTGAGAGATACGGATATACGAGAATTGATAGCTGTGCAAAGGAGTATATTAATAGATTAGGGTGGAAGTTTGATTGTTGATAAAGGTCATTAGGTAGCTCGATGGTAGATAGAATTGGTACCCTGTCGCAGCAGGATGTTTAATAAGGTGTAAGTAGTTATTATAATAATATTGGCATCATTAGGGGGTGATAATTAAACGCGAGTGTGAAACGTCGTCGTAGCGTGACGTAATTAGCCATTTAAGTGTGTGGTGATACAGTGGTGACAATCCCATCATCAGGTGTCCTCTATAGGGGGTAACTCTGCTTAGGGTGGTAGCGCGCCCCCGTGGGGCGTGCTGAGGGTCTCTACCGGGGTGGGTCATCAGTACCTCGTTATCGGAGAGGATTTTTTCAACCAGGAACACGATAAGAGGCTCGTGCTGGAGGGCTGGCTGATGCACCGGGGCGGCGGGGTCGCCGGAGCCCCTGGAGGCCACGGAGCCCCCGGCGGAGCTCGAGCCATCGAACTCGACCATCCACCCGCCATGCCCGGGGCACCAGGTTTTCCATGGGGCGCCATGCTCGCCGGACATCACGCTGCTGCCGCCGCCGGTATGATGCAACCACCACTTCCGGCTGCCGGGGATTACGCGCCCGCACCCGCTCATCATCCCTCCAGTCATCCCGCCATGCCCATGGATCTTCATGTGCCACAGGCTTTCCCTTACTACAGGTTGGATCACTATACTACCCTTCTCTCAGTCGTATCGATAGGCCGGTTCATATTCTTTTTTTTTTTCTTTACCATTAATTGACGTCACAGCCTTATAGCTAACTAGTGGACTAAATCGCACATCGGTTATTTTACATATATTAATATAATAAATATAGGGTTGTGATATCTATGGTATCTCTCATAAACTAAAGGTGTAATATGAAATACAAGATTATTGCGCTGGCTACTTACACGTGTCACGTTAAGCACTTAAATAGTTTCATTTGCGTTTCATGTTGTCTCTTGGGCCGCGGCGCCCGCTGCCAGTTTCGCGGTTAATAGCCCAGAAGATGATTTTGTGAGAAAAAGAAGCTACTTTGAGGTTTTTCTTTCTGTCTATTATTATTACGTGACACGGTCCTGTTACCTCGACTGAAATCAGTATTTTGTAGCAGGTGCACACGTGCGCGCGGCGTCCGAAACGGTTTTCGTTTTTATTTTGTTTTTTTACTTACATCACTTTTCTGGCCGAAATTCTTGTTCGGTTGATGCGAATCGCATTAATTTTATACGTCGGTCGACCAGAGTCTAATCGGTCGCATGAAAAATCCTTGCGGTATTTGATCTAATACCGATTTTAAATTGATTATTGAAAACGTTATATGGGGTTTGGTGCGAGGTAATATGTGTCTGATGGGAAAAGAATTATTTCCCCTGTACCTCATTTCTTTATTGGCCATGTTTTCGAGAATATGTAATATATTGAACTGTTCTATCACCTAAGAAACATTAACTTGTAAAAGGTGCGTTAATTTGATCTAGTACGGAACACTAAGATAGATAAAATATAATGTAAGGTTGCTTAACTCGTGACACTATATATTTTTTACGTATATAAATTATTTATCGATAACTGATAAAGAACCAAAGTATCACCGCCAACGAGCTATTTCTCTGTAACAAGATTGCATACGTAACTTACGAATGTAGTATAGTTGCTTAAATATCGTGATGGGTTGATTTAGGCAATGTTACGATTTAGACAACCTGCCCCTATATTATTTTTAAAAACATTTAATTCGAATGCACACGTTGAAGTGATGATGACAGTGAAAGTGAAAATGATTCATGAAGAATTGCTAGGAGGATCAATTGCTGATCAATTTGTCGATTGTGTTGCTAATCAATTAATGACCACCATTATGAAGTCATTCGATAATCGTCACATAAATAATAGTACAGCAACATTTAGCAGGTAGACGGTGGCAGTAGTAGCGATAGCAGTAGCAACGATAGAAAAAGAAAGAAGTTTAAAGAAACACGAGACACACGCCATGCAAGAAACCCATTATAATTCCTAGCTCGTCCAAGTTATTAGTATTCCGCTATCAATTATCCAGCAATGGCGTGCATCACGTAAATCCGTGAATCCTTTGAACCTATAAAATTGTAAATTCGTAAGCAAATGAATCAAGGAATCCTTCGTACGAGTATGATATGCGTATCTACGAAGACTGTGGGTGAACAGGACAGGGAAGAAGTTCGGGAAAACTGTATAAAAATTTAAATCAAAGAAATCTGAGTTGTTAGTGAAAACAAGTAAAATTGATGCGTGTCGGTTTCGCAGCCACGCATGACCACTTGTTGCCTCCCTTGAATCTAACGCCTCCCCAATCCTTCAGCCGTACTGTGCAGGAATACCACTTTGCATGGATTATATAGAGAAAATAAAAATTCAAAATCAACACTTTTTTATAGGCTAGGAAACGTTATTTTGATTTTTAACAATAGCAACAAAGTACTTTGATGGGTATCCGCGAAAAATTGTATCACATCCAATCGCTCTAATACGATCATTTCAAAAAAAAATCTGAACAAATCTCATCAAACTTCACCAAATTTCAATCCCGAAGAAAGTCTTTAGCCTCAAATGTCATAGCTATATCATTATTACTTTGTATAAAAATATAACTGTGCTCAGAGTAGCATGACGACATCTTCCGGAGCAATAAAACTCTTGGTCTTTGTTTTCTCTTTGTTTCGCAGTCAATTTTATTAAAATTGCAGACCGGATAATACTACAAATACCACTAGACACGTGAGTCCCAGAAACTTGTAACACAGTAACGTGGCAGATGTAGTACCATGCGTGTAATGCCAGTACACAAGTACTGGTAGCAAGTAGGTAAAGTCAGTCTGGCCAGACAGAAAGGTTTCGGTGAAACAAGAGAAAGACTAGCTTTTGTGCCATCGAGGTTGGCAGCACTTTTTCCATGTCCTTCGACCGGCCCGTGCCTCTGTGACTAATGCAATATTCCGCGAACAGCCTCAAAGAAAAGCCCTCTACCGACGAAACTGTATGTATACCTTGGCTCCTCCCCCTGTAGAGAAAAAGCTCTGTGCTAATTGGTGCCTGGAACGGCGAGTATAGAGTAAAAATTCAAGTCGTTATAAGGACAGATGACAAACGTATATTATACACTTGGTTGATATTGACGATGAGTAAACTTGGAGTTAAAATTAGCGACTTTATCCTATTTTAGGTCCGATGCGCATGCGCGCGAATTATTTGCCGTAATCGCTGAATCTTCATGCTTTTGCGATATACCAAGAATATTGGATGCTTACGGTACATAGTCTACCATCTACAGAATATACCATGTAACGCAGTACTTGTATCTATCATAGACATTATTCAGGGATTGGATGCGTTATTGAATGATGGCTCTACGTACTGCGACCTCACGGCTGCTAATGGGACCGGACGCGCTATGCGTAAAGAATCGTAAGAAGCTACAGTGCCGGATATTCAAGGTCTGTCCTAGGACTCATTAATGCAATTTCCAATAATTTTCATGGATGATATTAGTTTAAACAAAATAGAGAAATTTTAATACGGCATTACAAATTATACGCAAAGGGATACAAGGTTTCGATTACTGGAAGGCAGTATCTTAATTATTAAATTAAAGTTTAGAATTTTTAAATTTCCCGCCATAGATCGACGCGTTTCGATTCTCTGGGTTTCGTACTTCTGTATAATTATTTAATAACTGCCAATGGTCAAGATATCGCACACATATATAACAGTGCTCGAAGCACATTACTCGTGTTCACGTATAGCATTGGTCAGATTGCATCCTGGGGCAAAAGCAGTGCAACAGAAGCAAAGGCAGAAGCCAAGCTGGCTGCCGCTGAGCGACCGATAAATAACTTGGTTGCGTTTTTATCGAACGGTCGTTTCTCTCGACTACGCCGAGGAGGCGGGACGGGCGGGAACACGAAGACGGACACAGAGAAGTCCAAGACAAAGTTGGCACCCCTGGTCCAGGACAGCAGAAACGTATAGCTGCTCCTGAGGTTCCTTCCACTTGTAGTATACGTGGTACCGCTAGCGGCTACTATGGGCCAACTCCGAATCAAGGAGTAAAGACGGTCCATTCTGGCCCAGTCAGGCTGCGCGTTTCGGGCTGGTCTGGGCCTGGCGGTCCCAAACGGCCGGAGCCAACTCGGGCCGGTAGTTGGTCGCAGACTTTTTTCTTGGCTATCGGGCAGCGGATCGGCCCGCGATTCTCGACTGCAATCAGAATTGATTATAGCCTGCCGAAACCACGGCGCGGCGCGTCCCCATATTATACAACTACGCCCGCGGCTACGCTTCCCTTTGGCTTCGGGGTCTCAATGGCTGACCCATCCGATACGATATCTTACGTACTTCACACTTTGCACTGTGTCACAATCTCAGCGATATTTTGGTACATTTCTGTTTTATACCTCGAAGACTGTACTTTACTCAAGTCGTTATAGAGCTTACTGCACGTGACAATCGACCTTCGGACCAGTGACGTATTATCAGTGATGAATCGGAGAACTATAGTCGAAGTGTACACTTTGAAGTTGCATGGACACATACTGAACAAAAGTTGAAGTATTCTTTAAAAAAACAATGAATTTCGGCAAACCTAATTTTTCTGCTGCAAAAGACCCAATAAGATCCAATAAAAATTGTATATCGAGCGATCGTGCGCCTCGTAGCTATTTATCCAGGAATGCATTCCACTTGCGAATTATGCATCCGAATTACCGATAATGCAGGAAGCCCTGGGCTGAGAGTCATTTTAAGCTCATCCGTGTCTTGCTCCACTCGGGCCGTATTACTTGAATGCGGCACAGCGATAAAGCTACGTAGCTCCGTGATTACCGATCGTTTCCATGGCGCCGATCGCGACGTCTTAATTAGACGTGTATCGGGGGATCGCGCGCGCGACGCGCGCCCATATTGCTTATAAACATTCTTAGACTTCACGTATGTATTATCTCTCTTTCTCTCTCTCTCTCTCTCTCGCTATCCCTCTACACGTAGCGTACACAATCCTAAAACGCCTATCGGGAATCTATTAATAAGCGGTCCCGATTTAACGTCGGCATTAATTAGCAAAGTTATTCTATCTTATGTTTTTCACGTACAAACACATACATGTACTATCTATACTATCTATACGGTGTATAATAGACCATTAATCCCCAGTCAGGTATATAGATAGTCTCTTTTTTTTATTAGATGAAAATTTTCGATGAGGCCCCAGTCGCTTGTATATGAAGGTATACGTACCCGGTGTATACGAGGGGACTTGTCTCGAAGAAGTCGTCAGTGAGTATCAACCTTCAAGGATTTTGGGGGCCCCGTGAAATTCATGGTAATGGAATAATGTTACCGTTGCTCGTCTTAAATCCCTCCGCTTCCCTTTCCTGTTTCTCTACTCGATTTTATTATTATTATTTTTTTTTTCATTATCATCGCCCAATCCATATTGTCCTTTTACTTTATTTCACGTACACAAGGTGATTATAATCGGTATTACCAGGAAGAGGCACTACTGGTACTACTATACAAGCAGTGGGATGGTTTGTTGAGTTTTCGTTTTACATACTTTTCTTGGGGGCCTTTTTCCTTTTTTCCTTCTTTGATTTTCTTCAATGCATATCTACCTATAGCCACTCACTTACCTTTTGGTAGG